AAGCTGCCACCCTGGCACCGGAGCTCAGAGGGAGTGAGTTTGAGTAGATGAGTGAATGTGTGGGTTCTTTACAAGGAACTGTTTAGAGCCCCAGCATTTTCTTCCACCAACTCAATCCTTGCTGGTTTTTGCAGCCAGAAGTTGTGGGAATTTATCTTCCTTGCACTCAAACCCTGAGCTGGGAGGCCTGGTGTGGGGCTGGGGCTCCTCACTCCTGAGATATCACTCCCAAATTTTTATTCACCACACATGGGTGAGGGACCAGCCTGTTCTGTGTCTCCACCATCCTATCAGTCCTCATGTATGTGGTTTCTTTAATTCTGTACTTGTCAGAGTTCCATTCAATTCGATTTCTGATGGTTCTGAGTGATGGCTGCTCTATATTTGAATTGTAATTTTGATGTGGTTGTGTGAAGAGGCAATCTGTGTCTATGTATGCTGCCATCTTGACAGAAAGCCCTATGTCTCTTATTCTTGATTGATATAACAGATGAAAGTTTATTCCAAGTAATAAAAGCAACAATGTTTTCAATTATAGATGCTTATGTGTATATTTTATGAACACATTTATATGCTTATGTATGCTTATATATAAGTGAAATAAATGGCAACAATGATATAAGGGATGGGAGGGAGGAATTAGGATTATTTTGTTATTATAAAATACACTAACTTTAAAGTGACTACTTAGAAGTTGATTTGGATTAGCTGTAAATATATATTACAAATTTTTTTCCTTTAAAAAGTAAAAAATGAAGCATAATGAGTACATTAAGAAAGGAGGAAAAATGGAACCATTTAAATTGTTCAATTACAACCACAAAAAGGCTGAATAAAAGGGAGAATAAAAATAAGAACAAAGAATGGCAACACAGAGAAAACAGCAATGAAACTGGTAGCTATTAATCCAACAACATCAATAATCACTTTGAACATCAGTGGTCTAAGTTCACCAATTAAAAGGCAGTGATTGTTACAGTGGGTCAAAAAAATAAGAGTTAACTATATATTGTCTACAAGAAACCCATGTTAGATATAAAGCCACATAAAAATTTAAAGTAAACAAATGGAGAAAAATATACCATGGCAATACTAATCAAAAGAAAGTAGAAGTAAGACCCTGGTGGGGTAACTCAGTTGGTTAGAGTATCAACTGTATATACCAAGGTTGCAGATTCAATCCCCAGTCAGAATACATACAAAAATCAACCAATGAATGCATGAGTAAGTGGAACAATAAATTGATGTTTCTCCCTCTCCTTCTAAAAATCAATAAATAAAAATATAAAAAATGGAAGCAGGAGTAGCTATATTAATTTCAGGCAGAGAAGACTTCATAACAAAGTCACCAGGACAAAAAAGGCATTACATAATGAGAAAGCCATTATTTTATGCTGGGAACTGCCCTGCCTGGTTTCAGAAGCTATAACCCCCCATGGCTAAGGCTGAGTAAAGAGACCTTGGGACCATAAGGCACTAAGGAGACAAAGCTTATCTCCCTCACAGAGGCACAGCCTCTGCCAACTTTTACTTCACCCTACTTGGCCCTGGGCAGATGACTGGCTAGCCAATGATGGGTAAGATTCCTCAAGGGAGCGATGACCTAAGATAGGCATGGTCATGAAGGGGCCCTCAGGGAAGGACTTGGGGGACTACAGAAAAAGGGGGTGATGAACCCTCATCTCACAGTTTTGACATAGCCTGAGTCCTCATTCTGTCGGAAAGCAGTCTCCTAATCTCCTGGCTGCCTTACTTCCCCTGCCTGACTTAAGCCTGCAACAATGCCAGAGCATAGTACAGCCCTGGGCAGGAATGGGCAGTTCTCGGGGGGGATCAGGCCTCAGAAAGAACGCATAAAATCCTGTGAAACCTGCTTTGCTAAATATGTCCTCAATTTTCTGATAAGCATCCAAGCATGAAATGAGTTTGTTACCCAAAGATTTATAGCCCTTTAACTAACTGACCCTGACTCAGAATAAGCCCTCATAGTTCTTTGAATGTTATCTATTGTTTGATCATTACTGCCTGACAATGATTGATGACCTGTCCCTGTGCAGACTGAACCCAATGAAAGCCCATTGAGGAACAGGCTCCTGGCCCTTCTCCTTTGAGAGATTAGCCACCTTTCCTCTCCAAGCAGATCATGTCTTGGTAGACTTATTCTGATCCATGGTGGGAAGGGGGGCCCTACAGGTGGAGCCCCTCCACAATTTTATCTTCCCTAAGACACAATATTCTTTAATGTATATCCACCTAACAACAGCATCAAACTACATGAGGCAAAACTAATAGAATTGCAAAGAGAATTAGATGACTTCACTATCACAGTTGGAGACTTCAATATTCCTCTATTAGAAATGGATAGATCCAACAGGCAGAAAATCAGTAGAAGCATAGTTGAACTGAATATAATCAATATCTATAGACTACTTGATCCAACAAGAGCAGATATACATTCTTCTCAATCTCAAATGGGACATTCATGAATATAGAACACATTCTTGGCCATAAAACACACCTTTGTGGTCCTGGATGTTTAGCTCATTTGGTAGAGCACTGTCCATATGCCAAGATTGCAGGTTTGATTCTTAGTCAGGGCACATGCAAAAATCAACAAATGAATGTATAAATAAGTGGAAAAACAAATCAATGTTTCTCTCCCTTCCCTCTCTCTCAAATCTATAAATTTAAAGCAAAACACTTTCATAAGTTTAAAAGAATGAAAATCATACAATGTCTGCTCTCAGGCAACAATGGAATTAAACTAGAAATCAAAGACAGAAAGGCAACTGGATAATCTCAGATATATCATTTATAAAACACACTTCTACATAACACATGAGTTAAAGAAGAAATCTCAAGAGAAAGTTTAAAACAGTATGACCTAAATGAAAATGAAAACACAGACAGGCTTTTCCAAGACAAAAAAAAAAAAATGACCCAAATGAAAGAACAGTTTAAAGCTCCAGAAAAAATACAACTAAGCAACGAACAGATAGCAACCTATCAGATACACAGTTCAAAACAATGGTTATCAGGATGCTCCAGGATCTCACTGGTACTTCAACAGCATAAACAAGAACCATGCAGCATTATGGTTGCATTATGTGAAATAAAGAAAAATCTACAGGGAATGAACAATGATGGCAAGGAAACCAGGGCTCAAATCAAAGGTTTGGAGCAGAAGGAAGAAATAAACATTCAACCAGAACAGATTGAAGAAACAAGAATTAAAAAAAAAAAAAGAGGACAGGCTTAGAAACCTCCAGGATCTTTAAACCTTCCAACATCTGAATCGTAGGGGTGCCAGAAGGAGAAGAGGAAGACCAAGAAACTGAAAACTTATTTCAACAAATAATAAAGGAAAACTTCCCTAATCTGGCAAAGGAAATAGACTTCCAGGAAGCCCAGAGAGTTCCAAAGAAAGTGAACCCAAGGAGGAACACACCAAGGCACATCATAATTACATTAGCCAAAATTAAAGATAAGAAAAGAATTTTAAAAGCAGTAAGAGAAAAGGAGACAGTTACCTACAAAGGAGTTCCCACAAGACTATCAGTTGATTTCTCAAAAGAAACCTTACAGGCAAGAAGGGGCTGGAGAGAAGTATTCAAAGCCATGAAAGGCAAGGACGTACATCCAAGATTAATCTATACAGAAAAGCTGTCATTTAGAATGGAAGGGCAGATAAGTGCTTCCCAGATAAGGTCAAGTTAAAGGAGTTTATTATCGCCCAGCCCTTATTATATGAAATGTTAAAGGGACTTATCTAAGAAAAAGAATATAAAAAATATGAACACTAAAATGACAACAAACACAGCTATTAATAACTGAACCTAAAACAAACAAACTAACTAACTAACTAACTAACTAACTAACTAAGCAAACAACTAAAACAGGAACAGAATCACAGAAATGGAGACCACATGGAGGGTTATCAGCTGGGGAGTGGGATGAGGAGAGAAGGCGAAAGCTACAGAAAATAAGTAGCATAACTGGTAAGTAGAAAATAGACAGGGGGAGGTTAAGAATAGTATAGGAAATGTGGAAGCCAAAGAACTTACATGTATGAGATGGACATGAACTAAAGGGGGAAAATGTGGGTGGAAGGGGGTGTACAGGGTGGAGGGGAGTGAAGGGGGCAAATGGGACAACTGTAATAGCATAATCAATAAAATATATTTAAAAAGAAAATGAAAACACAACTTGTTAAAACTTGTAGAATGCAGTGAAAACAATAGTTAAAAGTAACTTATAGCATTGACTGCATACACTAGAAAAGAAGAAAGATATATCAGTAATTTAAGTCTCCATCTTAGAAAACCAGAAAAAGAGCAAAATAAATCCAAAGTAAGCAGAAAAAAAGCAATAATAAAAATAGAAACAAATCAAAGAAATTAAAAACAGGAAATAGAGAAAATCAATGAAACCAAAGCTGATTCTTTGAAAAGATAAATAAAATTGACAAGTGTCTAAACAGGCAAATTCAGAAAAAAAAAAAAACAGTGAGTATACAAATTACTAATATCAGAAATTAAAAAAAGGGACATCACTATAGATCCTATGTACATTAAAAGGTAAATAAAAGAATACTATAAACCATTCTATGCCCACAAATTTGAAAACCTTGATGTAATGAACCAATTCCTTGAACTACACAATTTGGCAATACTCAGACATGAAAAGACAATCTGAATAGGCCTATATCTATTAAAGAAATTGAATCAATAATTACTAACCTTCCAAAACAGGGTTCACTGGTGAATTATATCAAACATTTCAGGAAGAAATGGGTACCAGTTCTCTACAATCTCTTTCAGAGGAGAAAAGCAGAAATAATAATTCTGAACTCATTCTATAAGGCCAGAATTACCCTAATACCAAAATCAAAGACATTACAATAAAACTACAGACAAATATCACTCCTAAATATAGAGGCAAAAATTCTCAATAATATATTAGCAAATCAAATCCAAAAATGCATAAAAAGAATTACATACCACAATCAAGTGGGATTTATCCCAGGTATGCAAGACTGGTTCAACATTGAAAGATCAATTTATGTAATCTATCACAACAGGCTAAAAAAGAAAAATCACAAATCATATTAATAGATGTAGAAAAAAGCATTTGACAAAATTCAGTACCAAAGAGTCATAATAAAAACTCTCAGTAAGGATGCGGAACTTCCTCAGCTTAATAAAGAATATTGACCAACCCCCCCCAAAAAAAACCCACAAAAAACTACATCATACTTAATGGTGTAGCACTAAAATAAAGGCTTTCCCACCACCATGAGGTACAAGGCCAGAATGCCTTCCTTTCTTACCACTCTTTCTTTACATCATAGTGGAATTTCTTGCTAATGCAATAAGACAAGAAAAGGTATTCAGATTTGGAAGGAAGAAATAAAATTGTCTTTGTTCACGGGTGACATGATCATCTATGCAAAAAATCCAAAAGCTTCCAGGAACTAAGAAGTGATTTTATCAAGGTTGCAGGAGAGAAAAGTCAATATTTAAATAAGATAAAGATAGCAAATAAGCATATGAAAGGACATACCATGTCATATGTCATCACGGAAAAGCAAATTAAAACAAGATTCACTACACACGTATAAGAATGGCCAAAATCCAGAACACTGACAACACTGAATGCTGGAGAGGATGTGGAACAACAGGAACTCTCATTCATTGCTGGTGAAAATGGGAAACAATACAGTCTTTTGGAAGACAATTTGGCAGCTTGTTACATACTCTTTACCATATGATCCTGTAGTCATGCTCTTTGGTATTTATTCAAAGTAGGTGAAAATGTGTTCACATAAAAAATGCACACGTTTATAGTAATTTTATTCATAATCACAATAACTTGGAAGCAATCAAGATGTCTTTCAGTAGGTGAGTTGATAAATAAACTGTGTACATCCAGACAACGGAATTTTTTTTAAAGAATTAAAATTTTAATAAAAAACCCCCCAAAAGTCTCCAAGGCAAGATAGAGAATTATACAAATTATTTTTTTTCTCTTTCTTTATTGTTCTTAAAGTACAGTTGTCTCCCTTTTCACCCCACCATGCCCCACTCATCCCGGCCTCCCACTCTTAAACCTACCCCCTTTGTCTTCATCCATGGGTCCTTTATACATGTTCCCTGATGGCCCTTCCCCTATTATCCTTCTCCCCTCTCCTCTCTGGTTACTGTCAGTATGTTCTTTATTTCAATGTCTCTGGCTGTATTTTCTTTGCTTCTTTGTCTTGTTGATTAGGTTCCACTTATAGGTGAGATCATATGGTATTTGTCTTTCATCGCCGGATTATTTCACTTACGATAATGCTCTCCAGTTCCATCCATGCTGTCACAAACAATAGGAGTTCTTTCTTTCTGCTACATAGTATTCCATTGTGTAAGTGTACCACAGTTTTTTGATCTACTCATTTACTGAGGGGCACCTAGGTTGCTTCCAGCACTTGGCTATTGTAAATTGTGCTGGTATGAACATTGGGGTGCATATGTTCTTTTGAATTAGTGTTTCAGGATTCTTAGAGTGTATTCACAGCAGTGGAAATGCTGGGACAAAAGGCAATTCCATTTTTAGTTTTCTGAGGAAATTACATACTGTTTTCCACAGTGGCTGCTCTAGTCTGCATGCCCACCAACAATGCACTATGGTACCCTTTTCTCCACAACTGCTGTAACACTTGTGTGTTGATTTGTTTATGATGGCCATTCTAACCAGTGTGAAGTGGTATCTCACTGTGGTTTTAATTTTTATCTCTTTGATGACTAGTGATGCTGAGCATCTTTTCATATGTTCTGGGCCCTCTGCATGTCCTCCTTGGAGGAGTGTCTGTTCAGTCCTTTGCTCATTTTTTAATTGGCTTGTTTGTGTTCAGGGAGTAGAGTCACATGAACTCTTTGTATATTTTGGAGATCAAACACTTGTCTGAGATACCACTGGCAATATGTTTTCCCATATGGTTGTTTTTGTTTTAGTGCTGTTTTCTTTTGCCATGCAGAAACTTTTTATTTTGATTAGGTCCCACTTGTTTATTCTTTCATGTCCCTTGCTCTAGGGGACATATTGGTGAAAATACTGCTACAAGAAATATCTGAGATTTTCCTGCCTATATTCTCCTCTAGGACTTTTATGGTGTCACAACTTATATTTGTCTTTTATCTACCTTGAATTTATTTTTGTGTATGGTGTAAGTTGGTGATTGTGTTTCATTGTTTTGCATGTAGCTGTCTAGATCTCCAACACCATTTGTTGAAGAGGCTATTTTTACTCCATTTTATGCTGTTGCCCCTTTGTCAAATATTAATTGACCATAGAGACCTAGGTTTATTTCTGGGCTCTCTATTCTGTTCCATTGGTCTATGTGTCTGTTCTTATGCCAGTACCAGATTGTTTGATTATGGTGGCCTTGTACTATAGTTTTTTATCAGGTGCAGACAACACAATCTTATTCAGTACTAAAAAGAAATGAGCTATGAAGCCAAGAAAAGACATGGAAGAACCTTAAATGCATATTACTAAGAAAGTAGCCAGTCTGAAAAGGTGACATACTGTATGATTCCATGTCACATTCTTAAAAAGGCAAAACTATCATTCATAAGTGGTTGCCAAAGGTTGGAAGGAGGGATGAATAAGTGGAGCACAGAGGAATTTTAGGGCAGTAAAAATACTCTGTATGATGCCATAATGATATATATATATATTAAATATTTATCCAGACCCATAGTATGTACAACACCAAGATTCAACCTTAATGTAAACTATAGAGTTTGAGTAATCATGATACATCAATGTTGGTTCATCAAGTGTAACAAATGTACCACTCTGGAGAAGATGTAGCTAATAGAGGAGGCTATACATGTGTGGGGACAAGGGGTGTATGGGACCTCTTTTTATCTCCCCCTCTGTTTTCCTGTGAAACTGAAACTGCTCTAAAAAATAAATCATTAATTTAAAAATTACTTTTTCCATTTAAGTTCTTAATTTTTGTGTAATTAACTTTTTATATCATGTAAAGTGTATCCAATATCATTTCTCTACACGGATAACCAATTTTTCAGCATTATAAATTAAATATCCGATTCTCAGCCTGTAATGTGCATTGCCATCTCTGTCAGAGATACTAAATGTTCCACAACTCATGGATCAGTACCCCATAAAGACTTGTACCACTCAAATAACGAATAGTGTGCCATTAATATACAGTGGTTTAAGTCAGCTACTGAATTTTTTAACAAACTTTTTTATTCCTCTAAATTCTGATTCTTTTCAAATTTGCCTGGACATTTTTCATAATTGTTTGTTCTGTGCTGCTTTTTCAATAGCATCTTTTACTTCATAAACATTTTAGAGCCTATATTTCATAACTCCAAAACATAAAGTACTTGGGGGTCTAAATATGCTACTTGTTACTTCTGTACGCTGTTACCCACAGTGGCATATTTGTGTTTGGTGATTTTTTAATTATGAGCTCATACTGTATTATATCTTGTGGGTCTAAGTTGGGATCACTTTCTTTCTGAGGGAATTTGCATTTGCTTCTGCCAGAAGGTATATCCAAGTAGGAGCATTTTAGCTTCCTTGGAGGACCCCAAGCTTCCAAGCTTAATGTGGGAGTCTCACACTTAGGTTCCCCATTTTGCAGCAGGCCACAGACTTACCCTAAAGATCCCAACTTATATGAACATTTGTCCCCAGAATAACCTGGCCTTGTGTTTACTGACTGTTGCTATTTGGATTCTAACAAACTATTCCTCTTATTTTCTCCCCAAGGGGAATAGGAATACATGGGTATTTCCTTTATTTTCTTCAAAACCCTGTGATTGCCTAAAAAGAATGTTATTGGTTATCTGAATTCTAATTATACTGAGTAAAGGCCACTTCAGAATAGTTAGTCACACTTCCTGCCTCCCTTCTATTTTGTCCCCTCTGGTGGAACTGAGATGGTATAAATCAAGTCCCCTAGAGCTGGACAGACTGTCATTGAGAATCCTTTTCAAGGTCTAGGCTTGTAACAGGTAACACATACCCCTGGAGTGGGGGAGGGGCTTGAGGGGTGAATATGTGACTGAAGACTGCCTCCTTGCTCAACAGGGAAGACAGGAGAGGGAAAAAGGCAAACATGGCAAACACTAGCCCTCTTTAGTTGGAAGGCTGGACACTCCCACTGGCTTTCAGCAAGCATGGGGATCTGGGAGAGGCCTTTTGAAACAGAGAGCTCCAAGAAGTGAAAAATTAGTTGGTTTTCTTCCCCTCCCCCAGCAGGGTGCGTATCAATGGTAACCAGCAGACCTGCCAACAGTGGCCAGTGCCTGCCTGTGAGTGGATGCCTGGGGGCACAGACTCAGAAAGATGCCTGTCGCTGAACAGCAACTGGAGACCAGCTAAGGCACCTACATTTATGATACTTTTGGGCGGGAGAAGAGCTTCCTGGTGCAATATTGAACTGAGCTGGCAGAAAGTGATAGGGTGCTTTTTCCTTGGGTGTCCTAGAGGGAATGGGCTTTGAGGCAGAAACTTGCCATTATTTCCAAAGATGTTGGTGGTAATAGTCAGCACTGTGAACAGATATTTCTTCTTGTGTTATTTTCAGTTCTTGAACCTATATAGGTAGTTGCAATAATAATATTTAAATAGCTATTTTTGATGTCATACTCCGACTTTTCCTTCCCCTTTACTTTTTAAATTCTTTTTTAAAAAGTATATTTTATTGATTATGCAATTACAGTTATCCCACTTTGTGTCCCCCTTTATTCCCCTCTGTCCTGTACCCCCCTCCCATCATCGTTCTCCCACTTTAGTTCATGTCCATGGGTCATACATATAAGTTCCTTGGCTTCTCCATTTTTCCTATATTATTCTTAACCACCTCCTGTTTATTTTGTACCTACCACTTATGCTTATTCCCTGTACCTTTTCCCACATTATTCCCCTCAACCTCCCTACTGATAACCCTCCATGTGATCTCCATTTCTTCCAGTCTGTTCCTGCTCTGGTTGTTGGCTTAGTTTGTTTTTTTGTTTGTTTGTTTTAGGTTCAGTTGTTGATAGTCATGAGTTTGTTA